TATATATATAAAATACAAATCATTATGGAGCTCAAATATGTTTTAAAGTACATTCTTAAGAACCACGTGTTTTAATATAAGAATGATTAAATAGTTCTTAATTTAGTATTTGGATCTTACAATAAATGTTCTTGTAATTGTTTGGGGAAAAAAAGGACAAAAAATTATTATCTTTATTAATTTCTCATTTTTCCACAATCTCATACTGTCGTATGAAGCCATATTTTGCAAAATATATCTACTAAAAATAAAATTATCTATTATTAAAATGTAATTAAGTCTCTAGTTAATACTGCATTATTTAAATTTATAATAAGTAAAAATTAAGTTTGAATCCAGGTTTTATTAAAAATAAATCTTTAATATTGAACATAATTCATTTTTATTATGCCTAACATAATAAAAATTGTTCATTTTATTACGTAACATTCATTGCATACATGAAATGACATCAGGGTGTGGCTAGTTTCGTACATATATCTTCTATCGTGTTAATATATCATTAAATCAAAATATTGAAAAAATAGTTTATACGCTACCTTTTTTTATCCAATTCAACTTATATCTCATAACAAAAATATGGCTTTTAAAGATTTTTTTTATATCTTTTTATGAATTTTACTGAATAATATCAATAGTATAAGTTACTTATGTAACGTAATTTTATTTCTATTTGTCGTTATTTAACGTCCAAAACGAAGCATATTCAAGAAGCAAATAAAGATATTTCTATTGATGCAGATCGGTATCTTGTTTTAAATATTTTTCCATAGTAATACTATTTACACTGCAGCATTAACAAGGAGGGGGGGGGGGAAAGACCTTTTATGCATTTATTATGCATGTACGTAGTGGCATAACTTTAAATTCTAGACTTCTGTCACGTTTTGAAAATAAATCCTTTTCCCTTCTCATTAGCCACAAACGGTTTATATTTACAAATTAAGTAAAAAGTTCTTAATTTAAGAATTTTTTACTTATTTTGTAAATATAAACCGTTTGCATTAAGCTGAAATCGTTTAAGTATTTTTTGATATAATTGTGAATAAATAGTGATATTACCTAACTTTTTTGCATTTAATCATCAAACAGCTTTGTATTTGATTTCTCTTACAGTATATTGCAAATCGGTCAATGAGTTCAACATGCATAGTTTTGTCCTCAAAGCTTCAATACGTTCGTAGAATTCCGAAAACATTTATAAATAACTTATGTTTTTAAAGTAACCTTAGGTTGTAGCTAAAATAACCTTAGGCTGTAGTCAAACGTTTTTGCGTTTTTTGACTACTGGGGGAAAATATTACAACAGTCAAACAATCTTTCATTTTTTTTTCCTTAGGTTTGAAAAAGAGCCCTTTTTTATCCTATAGCGGTTTCATAGTTACTTTTTATGATTTTCTAAAATATTATATACGAGCAGCCGTTGCGCAGTGGTTAGTGTTCTGGCTCAGAATCCAGAGGTCCGAGTTTCGACGCCGGTTCTAGCCCAATAAGCGACATTGGTAAGGAAGGAGGCGTGAACTTCTAGTTAGATGCTCTTCCGCGGTGCTTCGTGATAAGACCGTAAGGACCTCTGGGAGCACCTAAATATCCTTTTTATATATATATATATATATGAGATATTTTCTAACGTTTTCATTTTTTCTGTATTTTATTTCTTTATTGTTTTTTTATTCTTTTTATTATTTTTTATTTATTCTTTATTATTATTTTTTTTATTCTTTATTACTTATTAGAAAACAGAAATTGTTTTTTTGAATAACATAAACGGAATCAAGTTATATTATTTTCTCACAAATATATTATTTTTACAAAATATTTTAATAAAATAAGGTGCTTAAGTAAAATCTTAAACTAAAAAACTTTTTATTAATTAGATAACTATGGTTGGTGACTTAAAGAATGGTAGAACAGTGCATTCGTTAGCTCGTTTGTTAACTTTATATCGTGTTAATTTACAATATGTATCTCCTCCTTCTCTACAGATGCCAGATAAAATAAAAACCTACGTTGCAAAAAGAAACATTTTGCAGGTATTTATTGATCTATTACTCTCTCTCTCTCTCTCTCTCTCTCTCTCTCTCTCTCTCTCTCTCTCTCTCAAAAGAACTCTCAATATTTCTTATTTCTGCTGCAAATGCATAACGGGTAATGTTTTAATAAATTTAAAAACTCATTACTTTATTTATTCTGATTATGTTAGAGTTTACAGTATTCGTGTCAGAAGAGAAAAGAGGGGGGGGGGATTTAAATTCAATAAGACAATCTCTCGCACAATATTTTTCCTTGCTGTTTACTTTAATATTTTCGAAACTCTTTGTCTTATAATTTCATATATATAAAATAATGTAAAAGTCAATATTTAACTTTTCTTCTACATTTAAGTTTAATATTAGTGAAATAATTTTTACCCAAAGAGTTCTTCCGATTTTTTTTATAGCAAGAATTTACGACAATAGAAGAGGCTTTGCCAAATACTGATGTATTGTATATGACTCGAATTCAAAAAGAACGCTTTGCTAATACGGAAGAATATAACAAGGTACATGGATTATATATTGTGACACCCAAACTGCTGACTAAAGCTAAAGAAAAAATGGTTGTTATGCATCCTTTACCTCGAGTAAACGAAATAAGGTAAAGTTATTTAAATAGCACATTTAAGAAATAGGAAAATTTTAAGCTTTTAACACGAGGTGTAGAAACATTCTTTCTTTTAGTCAGTTTTTCAGAATTTGATTTTTTATTTTATATATATATGTGTAAGTGTGTGTTTTTTTCTTTCTACCATTTGACTAATACAAAGAACCCCTTTACACCTCGTGTTGTCATAATTTCTGTTCAGTTAAATATTATTTTTTATTATTTCAAATTTTTATTTACCAGCGTGGAAGTGGATACAGATCCTCGAGCAGCGTATTTTCGTCAAATGGAATGCGGAATGTACATTCGAATGGCTTTACTATGTATGTTAACGGGTCGATATTAACATTTAAATTAGATAACGCGCCTATTTCTAGTATATAAAGATTAGTTTTATCTTACTTGGTGTTTTTTATGTAATGTTTTTTTTTTACTAGTTTTACAAATTCTCTTTGTTAATTTTTGTATAGTCAGTCGCCCTAAAAAACCTCCTCAATTAAATAACCTATAACGATTCTTTTTGTTATTTGCGGAGTTTCCCCTGAATAGAATAGCTCACGTGTCAATAAAAAAAGACTATTGCGAAATACAAAGTCATTCGAATTTAAATTATTATATGATATTCTAAAATGTTTCTAAGAAAAGATGTTATAATTTAAAGTTTATGTTTTTAAAAGATAAGATTTAGGTGATTTAATTTATCTATGAAAGCCGATCTATGAAAGACGCAACGGATTTTCATAGATATGATTGGCCTGAAAAAATGATCCAAGACATAGACGGGGGTAATTTTGTTTGTATAAATTGTGTACATAATAGCTGTGGATAAATTAACATTTGTATAAAATATTTTGCTCAAGGTGAAGCTGCTCACTTGAAGATTTATTGCTTAAAATGTGTATTTAAAGAAAATATAATTATTTTTAAAACATTGTGTTGTTATACTACAAGTTGTCGTCAGTATCACGCCCGTTTTTTATTTATTTTTGTTATAAGTTACGTCAGTTTCTAGTTACCCTGTAATTTGCGCTGCAAATTTTTAAAGAACCAAGTGCGTAAAGGAAGCAACTTGAAGCTGTGTAAACTATTAGTAAGTAAACTACTTTATTTATTTATTAGTAAACGTAACTATAAATGGTTTTATTCACATGTTTGTGGCTTGATAATTTTTTTCTGTTCTAAAAAGACTATAAAGCTAATAACAATGCAAAGATTTTTAAAATAATATTCTATTATGCATTCGATAAAACTTTTAAAGCATTGATTTTTTTTTCGATTTTGCGCGTGTGTTTTTTATCACTTAAGAAAACAAATTAAACTCAAATATTTTGTTAAAAATATTAAATTGAGTAAGCTTAAAAAAAAAGATAAATATAAATAAATTTTAATTCTTTTTAAAAGGTTTATTTTTTATGAAGATCTAAGAGCGTCATTACTATTAATTTTTTTTGAATACTTTTTTGTAATACCAATTTTTTAAAATTGATTTGTCATGTTAAATTTTTATAATTTCTATTTATAATTTCTAATTATTGTGCAAACATTTTAAAATAACATAATTGCGGTTAGAAAGTTATGCATGTTTGAAAGAACTAAGCTATTTGTATAAGTTATTTTAATTTCCCCAAATGACAAATATTAAATTTGTTTATGTTTTTTCTTATCCAATAGCATTTTTAGCGGCTTCAGATAAAATGCTATCTGGGGAATATAAAAAAGGTTCTTCTTAACTGCGTTTTAATTCTATTAGAGTTTTATAGTTAACAGAAGTTTAATTATTTTTTGTTTATTTTATTTTTGCAGGTATTATTTCGATATGACTGGTTCAAATTGGTGTACACACGATATATTACCTACCGACGAAATACTACTTCATAAGTCGATATTAGATACATCTAGTCCTAGCGACGATGTATGGAAGAAGTTTCTTACACCCCCTAGCTCTCCTCAAAGTATTGGAGAGTCTTCAGAGAGCGAAGAAACTACTGATTCATTTGACACTTGCGCACGACTTCAATACGTTTGCGATAACCTAGATATAGGTTTAGAATTAACAACTCGTTGCACAAATTCTTTTAATTTAGGCTTGAAACTGATATCTGATTGTATGTGGTCAGGAGTTCTACCTGATTTATCTAAGATTCAATCGAAAGAAAAATTCATGTGCACGAGAAAGTTGACTTTAGATGCAGAAGACCTATATCCTTCACCTTGTCCTAGTCCGCTTTCAAACATGAACAGTTCAACTAGTGTTCCCGACTGTCCTTCAACAAGCGAATGTGTGGATCCAACCGCTGTCTTTCCTTTAACGAGCAATAATGAATTCTTGTTTTGTCCTACGGATACAGGTATCATTTGTTGGAAACTGTTTTAGCGTTGTAATTAATATTTTGTTAAATTTAAAATTTTGTTAACTCAGTATTTTTGTTTTAGATGAAGAAATAGACGTTGTAACCATAGATTCAAAGCCAATTAACATAGTTGGTTTGAAACGTCAAAGTTCTACGTCGATTGTTTACACAAAAATTCAAACGACTTCTGTTTTAAAAAGGACTAGAAGCTCTCCAGCTAAATTACGTAGTGACCGGCTCATGCGTAAATCAGCGTTAATTGATGATTTAGATCCTACTTCACGTCGTGCATCTCACAATGTCCTTGAGAGAAAACGAAGAATTGATTTAAAAAGAAGCTTCGAAAAACTAAGAGAGTGTGTTCCTAATCTTGAACGTGAAGAGAAGGCTCCTAAAGTAGTCGTTTTGAAAAAAGCCTTAATGTATATATTAGCTTTAAAAACAGAAGAAAAAGAGTTGACAGAACAAAAGCGGACTTTGCAAAAAGAAAACGAAGAATTAAATTCTAAGCTTAAAAAAATACTTTTTAAATAATTTTTTTTATTTTTGAAATTCATAAAAAAGAAATGTATATATTTTATAATGCGACACTTGAGCATGCTGTACATCTTTAGCATGTTTGTCGATAAACGATTCTTAAACACTTTAAATCCTCAGGTGTTAAAGTTGGTGGTATAATTGTCGTAAATAACACCTGTTCTTCGATATTAGCGGTTGCGTGCGAGCACTGCAACTTTACAGTTGTTTGTATAATAAAAAAGAATAATTTATTTTATATTTGACTATTTTTTAAACATTGTGCTAAGTTCGATTTCCCGCCTTTGATGGGTGTTCCCCGCTTTTTGTCTCTTGCTTTTAACAAGTTTTAATTTTCCTCTGTAAAATTGTATTTAATTTAAATCGAGTGTAGATCGAATCTTAATTACAATGTGTTGGTATCTATAGAATGTTTAGCCAAGTTAATTCTCTTTAATTTAAAAGGTGAAAAATTTATTAAGTATATAAAATGCAAGTAATTAAATTGGTACTTACGTGCGCACTTTAAAATCTAAATAAAATAAAATGTATACCCTTAAAATCAGTTAAAACCAGGGAACTAAGTAATATTTATAGTTGTTGTTGTTTGTCAGTAGTTGTTGAGGATATAGTTAGGCATTTAAATAAGTGCTTTTATATATGATTTTCAATTTTACTAAAGTGATTCTTGATTTGTGTTCGAGGATGACTTTTTATTGCACAATAAGAATGTTGAATCGAACTATAAGAAAGAAAGAATTCACTACGCGCGTTCTTTGTCATTCTTTTTGTTCGATTTTTATTTTAAAAAAATAAACTTGATACGGGCTTTGAAATACAATTTTACTTTCAGATTTTCTAAGTTTCTTTTTTGATTACGCGTTTTTGATTATATATGTATATAATATCTTTATTTTTTCTAATTTTTTTTTGTAAATTAAAATATTAAATGAGTAAAAAGAAGAATTTAAATTGACAATTCTAGTTGCAATGCAAATTTAATTGCATTTTTACTTCATTTCGAAAAAATATTTTTTTATTGAAATAACTATTTTAACTACATTTTCACAAAATTTCTAGAATTTATAATTAAATTTGTGATCAATTGCGTGTTAAATCATAAACCGTAAAGACCTGAGTTTAAAAATAATAAAAAACTTTTTTAATGAAAAGATTTTTTTATATGTACGACGTCACAAATTTACAGCAAAGTTAAACGCTACTTTCTTTTTTGATTGGATTCTTAAAGCGTATAAAGTATACATATTTAATCTTTATTGTTTTGAAATAAATATTTTTGCGTTTTTTGTTTTTTTTAAATGTTTTCTCCTTTATCTATTAATGAAAAAATGAATTCGGCAATTTTACGTTGGGCGCACTTACTTTTTCTAACCCGTAACAAAGTTTTTCCTCTAATTACCTAAAAATGAAAAGATTTACAGTTGCAATCTAAATAGCACGCATTGGAAAGAATTTCTTTTTTCATAAGAGTGAAATGATTTTTATCGTGTACAGGTAAATGGACCTCATAATGTCAGGTTATAAATAAACCAACATAGAACTTGATTTTTTAAAATTAACTCTGAAAGCGTTGAATAATCTGAATAAAGAATATAATGTTAAGTTGTAAATAAAAAAATATTACATTTAATACTTAAAAAATACTCTAAATTTCAAAGACGTTGAAAAAAATCTACAAGCTATTAACACTTTTTTTAACAATAATTTCGAACATTTCAAGCCCTTCTAAAAATAAGTTTGCAGAACCTTAAAAGAAATGTTGCCTTAAGACTCCAAAAACAGTGCTAAAAAATGCGGGCACAGAACAAATCCAATTTTCTTTAAATCGCTTTTTAAAATAGCATTATGAGGTGCTGCACCTAACGTTTTGAGGTATCAAATCAAAAACTATTTAATAAACCGCATTACTTTGGATAATTTTTTTTTTTTTTAATAACATTAACAGACTTAAAAGAAATTTTATGAACAAATAATATAAAAATGAGATCCTGGTAAACTTCAATCAAATATCAGCAAATAGAGAATTCTAGGTTTTATTCTGAATAAAATCAGTTATAGGAAAGTGATAGTCTTCAACGTTATCTTCATCAGACTCAAACTGAAGGCATTTTTTTAGGTCCTATTTCACAAAATTTGGGTTCTATTTCACAAAATGATCATATTTGGTTTTAAGTCTGTTTCACCTCGACATGATGCTTTACTACATGTATATTTCAAAACATTTTGGCAACACGAGCATTCTCGGAGCTTAGTTGCTGCACAAACATTCTTTCCACAGGTATATTCTTCCTTACATTTATAGAATGCCTCAATTTGTTGTTGCTTGGATTTCCTTTCTTTATTAGCTTCCTTGATTAAAGAAACCGTTTCTAAAATTTTTTTTTTTACCTCCATCGACCTCACGGGTTGATGGAAGGGGAAAAAACCCATCGACCTCACGGGTCGATACCTTGGTAACTCTACTATTTTACAGGTAACAAGTTAGGTATTTACCTAACTTGTTACCTGTAACAGGTTACAGGTAACAAGTTAGGTATTTCTTCCAGTGATATTGATTTATCAGATATCGTTTGATAAGCTTCCAAAGCACTTTCGTATTTATGTCTCCAATATCTTGCTGAACCATAGCGAACATTTTTTGGAGGTGAAATTGTTAGGGTTGTTGATAATTGATTATTTTCAGTATTTTCATTAATACACAGCTTAGCTCGTAAAAACGTATCTTCCTGCATCCACTTAACACTGAGTCCTTCGTTTGAAATGCCAAATTTTTTACCTGCATTTATGATTGTTTGTTTTGAGGCCCTCTCTATCCATAACTCTGCAAGTATATCTTGAAACTTTGTCTGTTGATTGTCATAAACGAAGAATAAAGTACATATTTAGCACTTCTGTACTCAGAGTGCAATTTCTGATTGATTTGGTCAAGGAGCTGGGTAACGCCAGTTGTGTCGGGTGAAGTGATAAAAAGTCTAATATTTTTGCTTTTTAAAAATGTCAATACATCAATGTCAAATCTTGAAGAGTGACCATCAGATAGAACAACAACAGGCCGTTTTATCTTATTTTTTTCTAAAAAGTGGTCAAACATTTGATATGTACTTAGAATTGTACTGTGATCCTGACTTCCACTGTCATTTGTGGAGATTAGAAGATTTGGAATTCGTTTAACTGCTTCTTTTGGGGCCATGTGGGCACTAATCCTTTTTTTCTTGAATATGACGTGGCACATTGCTATATCTTTTCCAAAGGAAACAAAAGGATGTATGGTTACGCATTCTCTATTTTCTCTTATCATCTTTTGACAACTTTCCTCTCTCCCAGCATACACTAAACCATTTGGAGTACCATCAACTCCATAGTTTATAAACAGAGGGTTTTTATCATGATTATAAATTCTAGTGGTATCTATACCTCCCTGCCATACACCTGTTTTTAATTGATTTGCATCAATGAAAGTATTACATTATATAAGTTCTTCCGCTAATTCGTTGAGGTGGTTACATGCCATTTTTTTTTATTTATGCAGTTAAGGGCACGATTCATGGATACAGTTCCTTATCTCTTTTTGGTAATGTACTTTTGATACTTTGCATTCCAACGCTTCCAAAAAGACTTGCTAAGCTTCTTTGTTTGAAGTCTTCTTCCTCTAACTTGCGTCCTCTAACTGCTTACTTTTCATCACTATGACATCTTTTAGAACATTGCATCTTGATTTGCTTGTTGGTTTAACTCTAAATAACTTTCCTATTTTTTATTTATTATCTACAGCAAAGGAATATAAAAACACACTTACGTCGTATAAAACGCACTTTAGTTTAATTTATTTATTTGTTCAAAAACATACAAAAAAAACATTCTAAAGTGTGTTTTGAAAGAGGTTTCGTGATAAAACTATAAGCAGAATTTCCATTTTATATCGTCGAGAAGAAATTGAATACAAATAGCTTTTTTATATATATATAAATTAACTTTCATTTACCTAGCGTTTTTAGGTCCCTTAACCTAGCATTAAAAAATAAGTATTAAAGATAAACCAACCAACCATTTAAATATATATTTAGCATTAGAAATAAATAATATATGCAAAAATTCATGATTAACGAAGCAATATTGGCAACAATACTACCTTTTCTTTAACCTGACATTCTGAGGTTCCAAATGAAAAAAGCATGTCCTAAATATTTATTTAAGAACATATAAAAACTGTATTAAAAAACTACTAAAACTTTTTGGCAATCTAGCAGGTGTGTTTTTTTAACTTACAGAAGTAAAAACAAAGTATATGCTCAAATATTTGGAGTTTAGCAGAATCTTAAAAAAAAAACCTAACATTCTGAGATCCCTTTACAACAAATCAGAAATTTGAAATAATATTTATAACGGCACGCAAAATATAAATTTAGATTGAACATTAAGTACCCCATTATTAAAAACTTTTATACCTTCCATTGAATGTAAGGGTCCTATTTTTTGGAATAGTAATCAATTGGCTGTTTTTTTAAAAAAAAAAATTTTATTCGATCTTTTAAGTAAGACAAACCATGACACAATCGATAACGTTTTTCAATCAAGTTTATTAAAAGTATAGCTATTCGAGAAGCTATTAGAGAACATTTAACCAATAATTTTAACTTTGTAAAAATATTTATACAAATAATTCTAAATACAAATCATAGTAATCATATTTCCAAAAATCAGATATTAAAATTCCGTTATGACATTTTCATATTTGTGTATGTATATATATATATATATATACATATATATATATATATATATATATATATATATATATATATATATATATATATATATATATATATATATAAACTTTTTAAATACTTTTCATACTTCGTAGATATCAGTCAAAAACGAATTAAATGATCATTGTAATCAGTGACAATTCTATGAGTATGTGTGTGTGTGTGTGTGTGTGTGTGTGTGTGTGTGTGTGTGTGTGTGTGTGTGTGTATCATAGCCTCACACCACCTCCCAAAAGAAGGCGATTTTCTAAATATAGTTGGTAAATATATAAAATATTTCATAAAAATACATAATGGATGTAAATTCAACATTTTCTGTTAATATAACATTTAATTGTGTATATTAAACTAAAGTTCTTTTTAAATACAACTTACAATCAGAAAAGTTGATAACATCTAAAGTTTTTTATTTTTATCATAAGGTAGAAAAAGAAAAAGTTTTCGCTGAAATGCAACGTCATCTTATCAATTG